AGTCACGAGGATATAACTGTTTTAGGTCAATCCTGTGCTGAGCTCATTACTTGGTGATTTTACCCCCACACAAAATACTCCTATACAGTTATGAAGAAGGTATCAAACAAATTTTATCAGGGAGCACTAACCCTAATATGTTTTGGTGATTCTTTCTGGCATACGTTAAGTAATGTTAACAGGACTGAGTGGAGTATAATTCGGTGTGTAATCATACGAGTGATTAACAAATCACGAGTATGTTTACACACCGAATTATACTCCACTCAGTCCTTTTACCAATTAATCATAACTTTAACAAAATTTGTGATATAATAGGCTATTTTTTAAATCAAAACAAAAGAAATTCGAGATTTTGGTTTCCTAGCAGTGAAACAAAAAAGCCATTTAAGCGCGCGCGTGATGGCGCGTACTGTCCAATTACTTAGGCATGACTAGTACTGTCTTATTAAACTGTCCAATTAAGGCTGAAATCAGGGCAGTTGATAGCCAATCAGATTTGACAATTTTGTTATAGTTATGATTAACCTTGAAAACGCTCGCTCATTTTTCTCAAGTTTCAATCCAAGTCCATCCTTGCCTTCTGTTGAAACAGACGGCAGGAAACAGTTTCAGTGCCTAAATACGGTCTTAAATAACAATACTGGACGATTAATTCTGGAATTCAATTGATGCGAGAAAATTAGCGTTTTCAAAAGACAGCAAATAGCGTGACATAGCTACTTTAATAACTAATAGTCGAACATTCAAACAGTTAAAAAACGCCGGGGGTCACCCTACAGCGACCTATTTTGAAGTTATTGTTAGTTTATAGTTAAACATATAATCAGGAAAAGAGAATTGACCATCAAAATTGAGATGCCAAATAATGCTTAAATGATCAATCACGCTGAAACTATTCCACTGACCATTTTTGCAAATTTTGCAGGCCCATGTGAGAATAATGGCGGATGCTCTCAATTGTGCGTTTTAAACCCAGGTGGTCAAACATGCATGTGCCAGGCTGGAATGACAATCAACGACGACAAAAGGACTTGTAAGATTTGTACTGTCTATTTAACCTATATGTATTCGACCTATTTATCTTGGTGCATAATATCCACCAAGGATGAGGTAAGGACAGCTGGATATTGGCCGATTGCCTTCAGCTCTGCGTAGCTATGGACAAAGGTGGAGTCCGGGTCAATAATGATGCAAAAAATAAGAGAAAAGGAAATCAACAAGGCCAATATTCAGCCATCTTGACCAAACAAGCTTGCTGGACAAGGCGAGAAATCCTGAGTGGCCAAGATAGGCCCATCCTTCCATCTTGGGTGGCCAATCAGAAAGCAGGATTCGCTTCAAACCCAGCCATTTACGAAACAAGACACCATCATAAAATATTGTTTTCGTCTTAGAAAGTCCCCAGTAGAGTTCTTCAATCCAGTAATCCCGATGGCTATTTTTGGCATCCCACCTCCTGCGCATTCTTTCAATCCCGAATTTCGTCCCGGTTTTGCTATAAAATCCCGAATCCCGAGTTTCAAAAAGGGAAATCGTGCAACCCGAAAAACCTAATATTAGGGAACCACCTTTTCACATTAATTTTTTTCTTTTCGTCTTAGGTACTGTGAAGAACGTTATCATGGTTGTCGATTCCTACTATGATGAAATCTATTTGTCAACTCTGGATTCATCAGACACAACGATTGTTCCTCTGCCTGTCCAAAATTTGACATACCCAATTGGTGTTGATTTTGATCCATTCAACAATAGAGTCTACTGGACAGACTACTCTCTTGGTACCGTCAAGCGTTCTCTTATTGACGGCAATAATCAGGAAACTATTCGTTCAGAAATTGCTGGACCATACGGAATCGCCCTAGATCTTGTGGCAGAAAATGTTTATTGGATAAGCCGGCTAGATTACACCATAGAAGTTTCGAAACTAGATGGATCTAACTGGAAAGTGCTGGTTTCTGATTTGGGTATATCTCCCGACCACATCGCTCTGGATACCTCCAGAGGGTTAGTAAAGGCCTGTTCTGTAAATAGACAAAGGGGTTCAGCTAAAAAAGGACGGTACTGCATTGGTCCAGAAGTTAAACAAAAGGTTTTCTTTTTATGAAAAAAGTCAGCGTTTGAATATTTTTCCAAGGTAAAAAGACAATCACCTCTGTTGATAGCAGAAGAGTAGGAACTGAATCATTCTGAAGCATTATTTTTTTGGTAGAGGAATAAATTGAAGGCGATGAAGTCATGAATATTAGTTTTATGGACAGCACAGGGTTTTGAGTTTTGGCTTGTATTGTTGAAAAACCGTTTTGGAAGGATTTTGGTTATTTTTAGACCGATGTCGATATGGTTTTAGTTTTATTGACTAAAACAAATAGAAATGCGTTTTTTTAGTTGGTGCATGTTGACGAAGAAAAGAGTTTCAACTCGCATAAAATAGGTTTAATCTACATTTCAGTTTTGGATTGTTCGTGATACTTTTTATACACTTATTTATTTAATATCATATGTCTTCCAGGTACATGTATTGGTCAGAACATGGACGTATTGGAGGTGCTGATATGGATGGAGAAAACCAAAAAGTTGTTGCCGTATTGACATATTATTATGGTTCATATGATGCCCGGGGTCTTGCTATGGATATTCAAATGAATCGAATTTACTTTGTTAGCTACTGGTTTGAAGGTTTGCTTTACGTCGATCTTAATGCCGGTGGAAAAGGAAATGGTCCAGTCCAAGTTCTGTTCATGGATTATTCTTTCGATCATGATTATTTTTTGGATCCACGAGGTCTTGCACTCGACGACCAGTATGTTTACTGGAATGAGTACTGGAATGAGAAGGTGTACCGGATTAATAAGACAAGTTTTGATGGCGATCTTGCTGTGGTGGCTTCAGGAATGTTTAGTCCTAGAGGAATGGCAGTCGTTAAAGGAAAACCAAATGCAAGTGGTGAGTGATATCACACTTCCTATCATCGTGACTTAGCAGATTGAAGATTTTGCTGTAACTTTGTTTGTGAGACTATGTATCATGACTAAAATTTCTCTGATCATCTCTTTTTTCGCAGATCCACATCCTTGTCTAAGCACTTGCAGTCACCTTTGTCTTCTTAAACCCGGAGGTTACAAGTGCGCATGCCCCGTTAAAAACCCTGCTATTTGCAACGAGAGTGTCCACCAAACCAGTGAGTAATACTGCTCCCTCATTTCATTACCTTAAGNTGATGCCCGGGGTCTTGCTATGGATATTCAAATGAATCGAATTTACTTTGTTAGCTACTGGTTTGAAGGTTTGCTTTACGTCGATCTTAATGCCGGTGGAAAAGGAAATGGTCCAGTCCAAGTTCTGTTCATGGATTATTCTTTCGATCATGATTATTTTTTGGATCCACGAGGTCTTGCACTCGACGACCAGTATGTTTACTGGAATGAGTACTGGAATGAGAAGGTGTACCGGATTAATAAGACAAGTTTTGATGGCGATCTTGCTGTGGTGGCTTCAGGAATGTTTAGTCCTAGAGGAATGGCAGTCGTTAAAGGAAAACCAAATGCAAGTGGTGAGTGATATCACACTTCCTATCATCGTGACTTAGCAGATTGAAGATTTTGCTGTAACTTTGTTTGTGAGACTATGTATCATGACTAAAATTTCTCTGATCATCTCTTTTTTCGCAGATCCACATCCTTGTCTAAGCACTTGCAGTCACCTTTGTCTTCTTAAACCCGGAGGTTACAAGTGCGCATGCCCCGTTAAAAACCCTGCTATTTGCAACGAGAGTGTCCACCAAACCAGTGAGTAATACTGCTCCCTCATTTCATTACCTTAAGTAGCAAGCAATCGTTTATAAATTCCAGTTTCAAGTTAAAGGAATTAACATTCCTTCGCCATAAGTTGATAATATCTAAGGCGTATATGAGAGGTGTTCATTTCGGTAGTGTTTAAAATGTAAAGCTCGTAAGAGAGACCCAATTCGCAAACAGAATTACCCAATCAGTCAATTCCACGTAGCCCACACGTGGTGCTTATTGTCCTGTCTGCTGCAAGATGATCAAGATAGTCATATTGGGTTATTCATCAGACAATTCTTAAGAGGGGTGCTCATTGAGTGTTTCTCTTGCCTGTTTGTTTATTTAGATATTTTTCATCGTTGACAATCTAGAGTTAACAACAGTATTGCATTTCTCGCCAGATTTGTATGGATGCAGTAGCAACCACAGTCTTTACTTCAGCGATCAAAATAGCATTAAATGCATCGACTTAAAGAGCTACAATCAGACCTATGTCAATGTGAAGACAGTAAAGACTGAACTTTCCGACGTTGGTGCGGTAGACATTGATCGAGGGGAGAGAATGATTTACTGGAGCGACCACGCCCAATGGGCCATAAGTAGAATGAGTCTTGTAACTGGATACACTGAGGTAATTAAAGAAATCGAATGCTCTAGCAATTTTTCGTGAACTTCATAGCGGATCCCCATAGCTACGAAAATATCCAAGGTGTTTGAATAGTCCCCAGTCCAATCCAATGTTAAATGTCAAACGTTCTAACTAGTGTGGTAGCTTACGACCTGATATTTCACAAATATTGTGGTCAACTGACAGTTGTCAAAACAATGTATCCTCTGAGCAGTATCACATGACTATATCGCGGGCTCAGATGTCTACCTGTTCGCAGGCTCAAATCCAAGATTATTTCTTTGCAATGGTTACAACATTCTTTTTGTTTGAAGTAAAGTATGAATTTAGTAACGGGAGCTTCGCCTTTAGACTTGGCTAAATTTATATATTACTTATATATATATTATATTACTTTCGGATGATCATGATCAGGATCAGTGATCTCGGATCACTCGGATCATGGTAGATCAAATGAACCGATGAATCCACTCTGGACAAGGATTCATCGGTTCATTTGGTCTACCATGGTCCGAGTGATCTCGGATCACTGATCCTGATCCGAATCATCCCAAAGGAACGCACTCTCAGACTGATAGATGATCACGCTTACGTCTGGTCAGTCATATGGCTCGAAAACGCCTGCATCAACTGGAGGACATGAGTTGAACCTTGCATAAAGAAGGAAACGTTGCACCTCCTTATTTCCCTGAGTTAATTTTACAAGCTATATCTGAAGCCCAGTACAAACGGACGCAACACTTTTGGCCAACAACTCTCAGCCAATGTTGGATGTTACATGTTGTAGTCGTTTGCACACACGGTTGCATGTTGTTGCGTGTTGTTGGGGGTTGTTGTGCAACGTTTCGAACCTGTCAAAAGGCTGATTTAGCAACAGAACGGGAACGTCAGTTGACGACGGCGCGCGCAAATCAAGCAACTGGAATGACCAATCGCAGAGAGGCAAATTGAGCACCGGAAGTCGCGTTTAGTCCTTTCCGCGGGCTTTTTCCCGTCGTCGATTGACGTTCCCTTTGTGTTGCTAAATCAACCTAAAATTTTAGCTACGACAGTCAATGTTGGGAGTTGTTGGGTCCGTTTGCACCTGCTGTTCATCGTTATTTTTCAGACTTATGGCGCATCTATAAAATGTTATTCAATCACAAGCGACGAAAGAATCAAGCAAAAATATTGGTCAATAAATCTGAAAGAAACATAAAGAGAACGTGACAGACTGGACACGGTTCTTAAGAGGGCCGTGTAGAAACGCTGCTATTTGATGTTTATATCGATTCTGTTTTTAATTTCATTGAAGGTCATCATAAGAGACAACCTAGGACAAGTTGACGGATTAGCTGTTGAATGGGAGAGTGGTTTGATTTACTGGACGGATTACATCTTTGAGAGAATTGAAGTGGCAAGGGTTGATGGAAGTCATAGAAAGACATTATTTACTGAACGTCTTTACAACCCACGTGGAATCGCCGTGGATCCAAAATCTGGGTAACAAATTTATATTCTCATCCCCCGTATAGGTATTTGGCTTCGTTCATGAACGAAAGGAGCTTAGGAGATAGGCTACTCGGGGAAACTTTCTCCTAGACCTGTAGCTCAGTGGTAGATAACAAGAAGGTCATTGCTTTGACTACGGTTGGGATATCCTGGATCTAAGTTTTTTGCATTGACATTCGCTTTAAAAAATAAAATGAAACTGAAACATGTGTGAGACGCTAAGAATGGGAAAATGCAAATACATCTATGTATTTTAAAAAAGGATCTGTCTAATTCCTGAATAGCGAAATCCTGAGGCTGTCTCGTACACAGACGTCTCTCTCTCAATGTAAATGTGCGCAAACGAAGACGGGAAGGAGAAAACGGGCGCGTCTCTTCCTTCTCCTGCCCATAGCCTTTCGGACCTCATCACCAGTCCCTCGCGTTTCTCGCTCGCCTTTCTTCCGAACGAAGCTTCTAAGCAGGACCCTTATTATGACACCGACATAACAGTCCTTACTATTTTCTAATTCCAGGTACATGTTCTGGACAGACTGGGGATTGTATTATCCTAAAATTGAACGAGCAGATTTATCCGGTGAAAACCGACAGGTAGTGTTTTGGTCTTTCTGGTTATACCAGTTGTTTCCTATGAGTGTGGTTATTGATTATGAAGCTGAACGAATTTATTGGATGGATGCATACGACAATTACATCGATTCTACAGACTATGACGGCAATAATTGGAGAACTGTGCACTATGTCTCTCATAACATCTTCCCAGCTGACCTGGCTCTGTACGGTGACAATTTATATTGGGTTGATAGGCACAGCCAGAGCATTCAGTGGTTTAACAAGTCACGCCCCTTGCTCGTACACAACTTTGGACACCTCTCGGATGTTTTCCTGACGGGTGCTGTGGTCTCCGACGAGTCGAGACAGCCAGTTGGTAAGTAGAGTTCAATGAACGAACAGAAAAATGTTTCGTTTCGGATGTTGTGTTTTGCATACCGGAACATAATTGTAAGATGTCGGACAACGTCCCTAACTTTAAGCCGTCAAATTTGCCATGGCACTCGATGTCTTGACGAGATTCAATTCCCTGTTTTTTCTTTCGGCATTGTAACCTAGTCCAACTTTTTGTCTCTCTCTTTTTTATCCGCAAGTCTGTCGTCCCGCACTGTTAATCTGAATACAGTCGAACCCCGCTATTTCGAAGTCCCAGGGGAAATGGAAAAAAGTTCGAAATAGCGGGGTTTCGAAATAACCGGGGAAGCGTAAAGGGGAAGGGTGAATCCAAGGGAATTCGATCTCCCTTCGAAATAACGGGGACTTCGAATTAACAGAGTTCGAAATAGCGGGGTTCGACTGTAGTTTGCTGTATTGTTGTAAATTTCATTTAAATTTATTTTTAAAATTCTGAAAGACGAGCGTCGAGCAAGAGAGCTTTATCACGTTTAAAACACCAGGCGCTCTCGAGTGTTTTTAGCTTGATGAAATATGAAGGGCAAGGCTCCCTTTTAAATGTACTGAGTAATAATCCTTGGGTGTCTTATATTTTTTCTGAAGAAAATTAGGGCTTAAAGCTCATATTATATTACTCTTTTTAAGTAACTCATAAACTGAAATAAAGGAGTACCTGACTTAATTCACAGCAATTTTAGAACAAACCAATTTAATTTGTGTCGCTGAGATATGAAGGAGATCTCTTGAATTAAACTACAACAAGGCAGATAAGGTCATTGTACAGCAGGAACCAAAAACAGTAACAGAGACTCTATTTCACTGGCTTTTTCGTTGTCTAAATATAGAACAGAAGACGATGATTTAGAGCCGTCGGAGGCAGTTTTGGCAAAGTTTCCAGTGTTTGACCCTGATGGGGTCAAATTCAAATTTTCAACATGGGAACACCAAAATATCGCTAAGAAGACTTTTCTAAGAATGACAGTGCCTGAGAAATATCTAGATTTGTTAGCTCAGTTTTTTCTTAGAGTGTTCTTTTTTTTTAAAAGCTCCCCCAACAAACCAACCTCCGTGTCGGATTAACAATGGAGGATGTAGCCATCTCTGCTTGGTATCCCCTAATGGAACATACAAATGCGCATGTCCCAATGGTGCTAGAGAACTGGGACCCGACGGGAGGAACTGCAATGGCAATAGTAAGTCTCCTTTCGTAGAGTGTATGTATTCTTTCAAAGACAGGTTTCCTCACGTGCAAACTACTCTCAAAATGGATTTATTTAGGTTATGTTTCTTGCAGTGTAATCTCATCAATGTGTATACGTGTTACTAAATGTATCCGACAGCTATGAGAGTTTTAGGTCCTTTGGTGTTGTTAGCTTTTCTGGCATACAGAATCACAATTATCTTCGTCTACGCATCTACTCAGTTTTACCCTGAGATGTCTTGAAAAAATTATAAAAATTAATTCACACTCACTTTGGCACGTTTTACTTGTTGACATCGTGTATACAAAAATTTTTAAAAAAATTACTCATTGCGACATTATTTTCTCATTTCAGTGACCGTGCCAACTACGCCAATCCCCGTACCAGGTAAAGTAAGACAACCTATGATTTTTGCTTCTAGAGGGATTTCTTGTGATTATTCTGACGAATTAGATACATCATCTATTCTGCCCTACCTAATGTAGTGTTACTTAGTCTGGCATTTCTGTAAGTCATTGGAGTCACTGCACGCTCACATTGAAGAGCGTGTGCTAATGGAAGTACACAAAGCTCATTCATAGACATAACAAGAACAACCATACCGTACATGCTTTGCGTTAATATATACTGTCTTAGTGTCCAACAACGCATCTTTTGTGCCGTACTGATGAGCTGCATTGAGTGTACGCGTTTACTATGGAAATAAGCTTTATTGGCAAAGCAAACAGTGACATTTGACAGAACTTTTTCTCATAAATCAACTCTTAATTAAATGAATTTGTTCAACGGCATAGGACGTAAAGGTTACCAATTGCATTAAAAACCTGCCAAAAGCGAACGGCCTCCGTTGTCGTGGTTGTAGAATAACAGTGGCCATTTCCGGTCCGCGTCGGAATCAGCAGCAAACTGCTCTTACAATTACTCGACATAATGTTTAACTTTTAGATGTCAGAGTGCGACTCAGAGGCTCTAACTCATCGAACGAAGGAAGGGTTGAGATTTATCACCAAGGAAAATGGGGAACAATTTGCGACGACCACTGGGGATACAGGGAGGCTACAGTTATATGCAGAATGCTCAATTACTCTGCTGCAGTTTACGCTGTTGGATATGCTCATTTTGGACAAGGAAACAGTTCTTTCCCCATTTGGATGGACAGTGTGAAGTGTAGAGGTGACGAGAAAACCATTGCTGCCTGTAGGCACGATGGATGGGGAACTCATGATTGCGCGCATTCCGAAGATGCTGGAGTTGTATGCTACAATGGATCTATTCCACCAACTGAAGGTAGTTACTAAGTTTATAGTAGAGGCTATCCAATTTTTTCTGTAAATTAGCACATCTGATACACTGTTGCCGTTGTCATTTCTTGTTCCAAGTCAGGTCACATTTTTTTGAAGTGCTGGATTGTGTAATACCTCGGTTCCATCAGTAACTGTGAAATGTGGAAAACCTTACATGTATGATACGAAATATCCCAATATTATTTAAAGTCAGCTAAAAATCTTGCTTGCAGCTAACATAATTATCAAGTATCTTCTAAAATGTTTTCTGTTATCGGCCAAGCATGTCTTATAGGCTTGGCAGAATACAGCTATAAATTACTCATTGTTTTGCTGCAGCATTAAATAGTAAGTACTGTAGGAGTAAGAACTACATCTGATGGTCAATGAATGGTTGTCTTTATTTTTCTTTCAAGTCCCAACGGTAGCACCAGGACCTCATCCAGGTAAGACCACGCCCGCAGTTTGCATACTTTAATACTTACTTAGGCGCCGCATACTACACCCGGAGGGTTTTTTTTTAACTGAAATCCTTGCTCTCAGATGTTTGCCTTCTGTCCGGTGCTGCCCGAACAAAACCTTTAATCCATTGTCTTCTGGCACAGCCCCGGGAATGTACCTTCCCTTCCTCGGTCCCAAATGAGATAACCTTTTCTTTTAAACGGATGCACCGCCAGACGGTAGTTTTTTAGGTAGTCTGCACACAGTCGTAAAACACAAAACATTCGACGGTAAACGTCACAGTTTTCCGTAGTCACACGATTTCACATCATGTTTTGTAAAGCCTAGTAATTATGCAGCAAAAATAAAAGAACAACAACAACAAACAGATACCACGACAGAAATTTCTCAAAAATTGTCATGCAATTAAATTTTAGATTTATATTTAGATTTATAGTAATTTAACCACATTGGCACCCTGGTAAAGCCAAAGCAAGAGAGCCAAGGCTCTAATTTAGGCGTTGCATGCCTACTTATACTATATTCCTTTTGGCTTTTTCTCTTTCTTTTTGGTTCCTTTTAGTCTAACATTTTTGTAAATTATATGAGCAGTCGGTTACTAAATTGCCTACCTGAAATTGCCCAATGGAGCCAGTCCCCTTAACTTAATCCAATCCACGCGCCATATTCTATCGGGATACATCGTTGTAAATCTACCCTTTTTCTTGATTTCTTCCCATTCATGCAGAATTAAGGGTTCGTTTGAGATCTGGTTCTACTTCAAATCAAGGAAGAGTGGAGTTGTTCCTAAATGGCACGTGGGGAACGATATGTGATGACTACTGGGGAATCGATGAAGCGAACGTCATTTGCCGCATGCTTGGCTATTCCGAGGGAGCCTGGAGCACACACTGCTGTGGTTGGTACGACTCCTCCTCAGCGCCAAGTCAGATTTGGCTGGATGATGTTGAATGTGTCGGTGATGAACAGAGCATCGCGGCATGTCGCCATGGCGGATGGGGAAGACATAATTGCTACCATTCTGAAGATGTAGGAGTCGTATGCAAGTACACACCACCACCGCCTCCAGGTTTGTTTTGTTTGATTTGCTGTGTCACGAAATCAATGTTTTTCAAAATTGAAACAGTGATAGTCAACACGTAAACTTGATAAAAACACTGTTATAATTGTCTATAATATAATACTTCTGACAATGAAAATGTCATTGGAGAGAAGAAGCAGATGAAGATGAGAAGATGTAAGAGTCGTGTGCAAAAGTGTACCAGCGCCAGCATAAGGTACATCATTTCGTGCAAACGAAGCCTGCGCCACGGACGAAACTAAACTGTGGTTAAATCTGTCTGCGAAACAGCGCCGAAATCCTTGTTCTGTGTCTCCAGTTGTGTACCAAGATTTGAGTACACTTCATGATTGGCCTGCTAAAGAGCCATGGCCGATTTACGAAACGCACTTCTGTAATTGGTTGAGTCCGTTGGAGCCCAGAGCAAGGATACCAGCGCTGGTACGCGGGCCTTACTGACCGAGGTTGAAATTTATGTCTGCGTTGCAGGCTAGGGTTGATGCTAGCTCAAAACTTGAAGTAAAACTACTTTTTCAAGTTGGTATTTTAACTTCAAACGGCTATCATCGTTTTTAGATAAGACTCTGAGACTGGCTGGTGGCTACAGAAGTGGCGAAGGAAGAGTAGAGATATTTCGCGATGGTCATTGGGGAACTGTTTGTGATGATTTCTGGGATTTCAAGGACGCTCAAGTCGTATGTCGTTCTCTTGGTCATGAACGGGCTCTTCTTGCACCAAAATTTGCTGCATTTGGCGAAGGCAACGGTCATATATGGTTAGATAACGTGCATTGCGTGGGTAATGAAAGTTCCATTGAGGATTGCCCTCACAATGGATGGGGCAATAATGACTGCAGTCACACTGAAGATGCATCAGTCATCTGCAGTAATGAGACAGTTCAAATAGGTGGGTAGATAACAGTAATTCACCGAAGTGAAGCCGCGAAGCGGCGAGGTAAATAAGCACCACTAGCCACCGATACTGAGGTGAATAATTTTTTCAGTGATACTAAAACATTGACATAATTGAGCACAAAAATGATGATTTTTAACTCATTTACAGTTGCCAACGATCTCATTACAATTTTGGTGCGCAATGACCGAAAAAGCGTCGCGTTTTCTTGCCGGCAAATAAAACTTTTGAAGGCATTTGTTTAGCTCTTTCGTAGAAATTTCTTCAAAAGGAGTTGTGAATTCTCTTTGTATTAAAAAACATTCTCTAAAAAAAGGATTAAATTTGCTTTAAAGCTTAGTTATGAACATGTAAGCTAAATAAAGTAACTCAAGACTTAAGCTTAATTTGCATTTGTAAACAAGAACCTTTTTTACCGGTTTCATCGATTAATTCAAGTCAAACAGACAAAGCTTTACCAGTTAAAACTTCCAAACCGAGTTTCTTCACCTTCTTCGTGTATTTCGGGAACAGCTTTTTTGATTATTTGTGAAATTTCCTTGTTTTTTGCCTTACGGCAGCAAACCGGGAAGCCATTTTATTCATAACTTACGCAAGTTTGGCGTCGCTCGCTCGGAGGAGCTGGAGGTGAATCAGTGAATAGCAATACAACTATCCCCCAAAGGAAAGGTGAATAGTGGTGGTATATTGAGACGCGAAGCGTCGAGGTACATATCTAGCGCTATGAAGCGACCCTAGCATGAGGGGAATAGTTGTTTTAATATTTAGCAAATCAGTTGGATCAAAAGAAAAAAAGTAACTTTTTGTAAATAAAAGACGTTACTTAGTTATTATAAGAGTTTGTTTACAATTCAGTTGACAGTGTTTCGGGGATAATTTTGTTATGATTTTGATTCAAATTCAGTAAGGAATTTTTTTATACCGACCAGTAAACACGACAAGCCAAATTTTCTCTTTCTTGGTACTTGTTGGTGCAGCTGCTTCATTTACTGCTAAAATTTCATCTTTGGAAAGTGTCGCGAAACAAGAAGCCATTTTGAATCCCGTCCCAAAACAGTGAGTATGCAAGAATATTCCGAGTTACGGAAGCCAATCAAAACGCGCACAATCAAAACATATGTTTGCAAGAAGTTTCGAAGAAGTTGGATTTGTTTGCATGTTTGCGTGTTTCGAAAGATCTTCGAACACTTTTTGTTGCCAGTATTGAAGTAAAAAATCAGATTCGTCGTTTCTTTTTTTGCGGAGTTTTGTTTGTCTGCCGCAATTTATATCTATGTTGGATTTATAACACATCAAACAACATCGAAAGTCAGGATGGTAATTCCAGAATAACATTATGTAACCTCAAAAAACTGGAAAAAACTACTCTTGCCGATATTTCATCCTTATTAAAAGACTTCGTCGGGGCAACTGTTGGATTTATAAGTGTGTCTTTCTATCTTCATCGTGTTTCTCTTAATATATCAACGTCCATTTGTCTAACTTTGTCAGTTTTTATATGTTCAGTCCTTTTCAATAATGACATGCAACAGGATATTCTGGATTTCCTTGAGGGAGCAAGGGTGGCGCAGTGGTGAGAGCACTCACCTCCCACCAATTTGGCCCGGGTTCGAATCCTGGCGTCGACGCCATATGTGGGTTGAGTTTGTTCTTGGTTCTCTCCCTTGCTCCGAGAGGTTTTTCTCCGGGTAGTCCGGTTTTCATCTCTCCTTAAAAACCAACACTTTCAAATTCCAATTCGATCTGGAACGCACGGACACGTTTCAACGAGTTCTTATGAACTCCTTAGTGCTCCGTGGGNTCGAAGAAGTTGGATTTGTTTGCATGTTTGCGTGTTTCGAAAGATCTTCGAACACTTTTTGTTGCCAGTATTGAAGTAAAAAATCAGATTCGTCGTTTCTTTTTTTGCGGAGTTTTGTTTGTCTGCCGCAATTTATATCTATGTTGGATTTATAACACATCAAACAACATCGAAAGTCAGGATGGTAATTCCAGAATAACATTATGTAACCTCAAAAAACTGGAAAAAACTACTCTTGCCGATATTTCATCCTTATTAAAAGACTTCGTCGGGGCAACTGTTGGATTTATAAGTGTGTCTTTCTATCTTCATCGTGTTTCTCTTAATATATCAACGTCCATTTGTCTAACTTTGTCAGTTTTTATATGTTCAGTCCTTTTCAATAATGACATGCAACAGGATATTCTGGATTTCCTTGAGGGAGCAAGGGTGGCGCAGTGGTGAGAGCACTCACCTCCCACCAATTTGGCCCGGGTTCGAATCCTGGCGTCGACGCCATATGTGGGTTGAGTTTGTTCTTGGTTCTCTCCCTTGCTCCGAGAGGTTTTTCTCCGGGTAGTCCGGTTTTCATCTCTCCTTAAAAACCAACACTTTCAAATTCCAATTCGATCTGGAACGCACGGACACGTTTCAACGAGTTCTTATGAACTCCTTAGTGCTCCGTGGGTAAACAAATTACAAAAATTTACAATTTCCCTAACAAGTGCTTCTCTCCAATTACTATACGATTCAAAGAGGAAAAACGTGAGCTTAAAACTTCTATAAATTTCCTTTTATATTATAGGTGCGGGTGATTTCTTGCTTTCTTGTGAAGGAGGGCGTAAAGTGTGTTACTACATGTCTCTAGAACAGCCGACTCCACTCAATCCATTGCCACTGTCAATTCCATTGACGTTTTCGCCGTTTGGAGTAGCTTACGATTCAGTGGAGGAGCGAATCTACTGGGCAGATGCCGATGGTAACATTCATCGAGCTTTCCTTACCGACACCACAAGCCAGGTCGTGATAAAGGGCATTTCACGTCCGATGGGGCTTGAAATAGACCCTATAGGAAGGAATATCTATGTCGCAGACCAAAATGAAAACAATATTAAAGTTGTCAAACTAGACGGTTCTTATGAGACTGTAATTGTTGACGTCGATTCACCTCAAGGGATAGCGTTGAATAGCTATTTGGGGTAAGATTTCTTGTTACATCATTATACCTACGGTATGAAAGTTAAGACAATGAAATAACTAATGAAATATCTCAGATCTGACATATATCTTGTTTTGAATTACACAAAAAGTCGTATCGTATTTGCAAAAGTTAAATTTTTAAACATTTTACTTGTTAATTAAGCAATTTAAAACTTGCTTAACCTGCCCGGATTCAAAGAAGACAGTTATGAATGCTCTGTAGTGCAATTCTTTCTGTCACAACTGCTGGGACAAAATAAATTAAGAAAACTTACGTTTTTCTTCCTTCTAGGAAGGAAAATATTTTCAACTTTTAGAACGCAGCACCTGACGACGGTTCGTCTCAATTTTCAACAATCTCGGATCCTCATTATAACAATACATACTTACATACAGATACATAACCTTTATTTTAACTCGAATTTTAGAGTAGCTATACTATATAGCTAATATCTTGGAGAAACCAATTAAGATGTGTAAAACTGGAAAAAAAAATACACACAAAAAAAAAGACAAAAAGGATGTAGTTTTCCATGAAGATGACTAAGTTCACGTTTTAAATCTCCTTTCTGCAGATTTATGTACTTCGCGTCAGTTGGATGGAACCCACAAATATTACAAGCAGACATGGACGGTAAAAACAAGACTGTTCTTGCAAATTTGTCAAGCATCGGACAGACTATCATCGACCTGGTTGTTGATATACCTGGACTTCGTTTGTTCTTTTCTGACCAATCCAATAACGTGATACGATACATTGACCTCATAAGTCTGGAGGTGCACACCCTCCTTTCTGGCAGCGGCCTTCATGGACCAACTGGCCTCGTAATGTTGAACGACACCCTTTACTGGACGGCTCACCAGGGCGGTGGAATGTACGAAGGATTCATCTTTGAGGCTGACGTAACTAATAGAACAGTGCGCATGATTGCCGATGGGTTTAATAAACCTGCCGGACTTTACGCCTACAATTCGCGGGCACCTAAAACATCAGGTGATTATTACAATTATAATAGTATCTCATTAGAGACACTTAGTGAAGTCATTTCGCAAGTTAAAAATGGTCAAGCTAAAAACATAATTACAAACAATTTTTAACATAGCAATTTGAAGATTTACTTTTTCTGATAAAGCTCTTTTCTACTTTATCTTTCTACAGCTCAAACGGCCTGTCAAAATAATGGTGAATGTTCCCAGATGTGTGTAGTGCGACCTGGTGGTCGAACGTGCCTCTGCCAGGCTGGAATGAAGATAAACGAAGATGGAAAGACTTGTAAGTTGTATAAAATTAAATTCTTTTGGAAATAATTTTCTTTTAAAGAAGACAAAATTTTTAAGCGTTACCATGGCAATTAGCGGCAAAGAACTTAACCCTTAATTCTCAAACCCAGGCTTTTAACCCAAAGTAATACGGGAGTCATTTTTTAATTAACCGTTGATTTAAGAGAGACGAAATACCACGTTGACTGAAATTTGAAATGAATCTTTCTTTCCGAATCTTGAAACAAACACTCATTCAATTAAGTGACTACCGTACCCGCGGTTTGTTTAGCTCCTCGCGCTCTCCTGTTTATGAGCCCTTCTTAACCTCTTACAAAATTTGTATAAGCCCTGGGCGTGTAAGGGGAAATTTCTCTGAGTTGATTTTACCTTATTATAGGAAATTAACGATCCATGAAATTAACGCGAATCGTTAAAATTCGCGTTAATTTAAGGCGCGTTAATTTTGTTGAGCGTTAATTTCCGCGACGTTAATTAAGTGCAGCGCTAATTTCCGCGCTCTTAATTTCCAGTATTTTAACCCCAATTTTGGAACCTGTCCAGACATTCTTGACACCTAAAAAACATTAACTACAAGCTTTCTTTCTTTCTTTCCATTTACCCTTTATTTTTCATCTTTCACCAAAGCTAAGGGGAAGGTTCACAATATTTGTTAAATGTGTGTCCAGTTGTCACAACCAACCGCTTCTTAATCGTGTTAATTTCCTTTATTATAAAATTCTACCTCCTCTTTCGCGTTAATTTTCTTTATTCGAAAGTTTTTTTCCATTAAATTCGCGTTAATTTAAGTCGCGTTAATTTCCAATACCTTAATTTCATGGAGCGTTAATTTCCTATAATGGTAGGTGTTTTCATCTCATGAGTGACAGAGTCAAAGGGTCAGATTTCATCCGATAATTGTTTATTTGATTTTGTTTCAGGCACTGTCGCAGACGTTTTATTTGTGACAGACTCTTATGATAACAAAATCTACATGTCATCACTAAGCCCAGATGATACCACAATCGTGCCTCTACAACTTAAAAACCTCTCGTTTCCCCTTGGCGTTGATTTTGATCCGTTCGAACATCGTGTGTACTGGACCGATCACGACCATGGCTTTGTGGAGCGAGCCTTTGTTGATGGCAGGAGCCAAGAAATTGTTCATATGGGACTTTCTCAGCCGAGTGGTATCGCTCTAGATTTACTCGGAGGAAATGTCTATTGGATAAGTACAGGAAATCTAACCGTAGAGGTTTCAAAGCTGGACGGAAGTTTCCGAAAATTGCTTGTTTCTAACCTGTCCTTATATCCAGAAGATATTGCTTTGGATACCATGAGAGGGTGAGCTTTACCTATTCTTGGTAACTGAAAGAGCACAGTGGAGCCAGGGAAACTAGTGCCCTTTTGCTTTGTTATTCATGGGAAAACTGAGAAAACTACATTGTCATAAATGATTGTGACGTGGTCGTAAATAATTTCACAAGCTGTCTTGATTTGCCACACTGCAACAAACGTCACATTTTCTGAAGAGAAGGGCCCTCTTCCATCCTCCAGAGGACACGCGCTTAATGTCGCCGTTCACATATACACAGAAAACAGCGACATAAATCTTACCTTCAGTTATCCTGGGACCAGGCTTGATCCGTATTAGGGGGGGGGGAAGAAAAGAAAAAACGGCATAGGCGAAAAAAAGAATCGGCGAGCGAAGCGAGCCGAGAGGTGCCTCGCTTCGCTCGCCGATATTTGTCCTATTTGACCCCGTTTTTTGTTCTTTTTCCCCCACTGCAGAGCCTGTCCAAGGCTAAGCCTCAGTGGGTTTAAGATGCGTTTATTTCCTACAATGGTAGGGTGTCATGAGATTTATAAAAATTCAAACAGTTGGAAACGCCACCAAACTGAATGAAAAATAACCGCTAAAAACCTCAAAGAAGGCAAAAATACAGTCGACTCTCTCTTAACGGACACCTCTATAAGACGGACACCTCTGTAAAACGGACACCTAGAGTTGGTCCTTGCCTTTCTTTACTCCCTTTATTTGATTCTCTATAAGACGGACACCTCTCTAAGACGGACACTTAGTGCCGGTCCCAAAGGTGTCCGTCTTAGAGAGAGTTGACTGCATCGATAAATAATACAATAAATACGTACAAAAGAGGTACGGATGAACAAACCTGGAGAAGATTGAAGGGGGATCGCGATTGTGGTCTTTGTAACCTTGCTAGCCTAACAGTTTTTAAAGTTCATTCTTCTTGTTCGTAACGTTCGAAATATTACCTGGGAGACATTATCTGTGACTTTGTCAATCACAACTAATTTCTCAATTTTTTTAGTGAATAAAGGACGAGCAACTGGCGTTATTAGAGAGATCAAAATTCACGTTTACGGCATACGGTAAACGGCAAACGTCAGTTGAGAATTCTCAGAATAGAAAATAAGCAGATAAAAAAGATCCAGAACGATTTTTGTGGATAAAACTGGCATAAAACTACTTTTTTTGTGTAGAAGCAATAAACAGTAAACGAAAAATAGGGGGGGAAAACTTGGTTACGTGGTACAAATTCACGTTTGCCGTGTGGTGTAAACGTGGATCTTAGTCTCTCTATTAACAAAATGAACCAGTAGACAGTCCCGACCCAGCCGCTTTAATGCACACGTCTGTTAATTTTTTAGGTACATGTACTGGTCAAGTTATGGGATTATTGAAGGTGCCGACATGGACGGAAGTAACCGCCGAAATATTACCCTCTTGAGACATTCTTTTGGCCAATATGATGCACTGGGTCTTGCCCTGGATGTAAAAATGAACCGACTTTACTTTGTTAGCTACTCTTTGTACGGCTTGTTTTATATTAATCTTGATTCAGCTGGAAGTCCGTATATTCCGCAGAGTTTGCTCCAGTCATTCTTTTATTTCGATGTACCACATGGGGTTGCGCTCGACGACCAGTTTGTTTACTGGAATGAATATTATGAGGAGAAGGTTTACCGGGTGAATAAGACCGTTGCAGGAGGCAATATTGAAACTGTAGCTGCAGGAATCTATAGTCCTTTTGGATTAGCCGTTAAAAAAGGAACTCCAACACGAAGTAGTAAGTACAAATTCTTCGAGTGATCCTTGTTCATTTGAGACAAACCAAAGTCCTTGGCATTGAAAGTTGACACGGATTTATTTTTTCTGCAAACCTTCAGCACAACGGTTTTGAGTAGTATAGTAAGCGCGATTTGACCTCCTTATGGCACTGAACACGTCATCGTCANCGAAAAATGGGGGGGGGGAAACTTGGTTACGTGGTACAAATTCACGTTTGCCGTGTGGTGTAAACGTGGATCTTAGTCTCTCTATTAACAAAATGAACCAGTAGACAGTCCCGACCCAGCCGCTTTAATGCACACGTCTGTTAATTTTTTAGGTACATGTACTGGTCAAGTTATGGGATTATTGAAGGTGCCGACATGGACGGAAGTAACCGCCGAAATATTACCCTCTTGAGACATTCTTTTGGCCAATATGATGCACTGGGTCTTGCCCTGGATGTAAAAATGAACCGACTTTACTTTGTTAGCTACTCTTTGTACGGCTTGTTTTATATTAATCTTGATTCAGCTGGAAGTCCGTATATTCCGCAGAGTTTGCTCCAGTCATTCTTTTATTTCGATGTACCACATGGGGTTGCGCTCGACGACCAGTTTGTTTACTGGAATGAATATTATGAGGAGAAGGTTTACCGGGTGAATAAGACCGTTGCAGGAGGCAATATTGAAACTGTAGCTGCAGGAATCTATAGTCCTTTTGGATTAGCCGTTAAAAAAGGAACTCCAACACGAAGTAGTAAGTACAAATTCTTCGAGTGATCCTTGTTCATTTGAGACAAACCAAAGTCCTTGGCATTGAAAGTTGACACGGATTTATTTTTTCTGCAAACCTTCAGCACAACGGTTTTGAGTAGTATAGTAAGCGCGATTTGACCTCCTTATGGCACTGAACACGTCATCGTCATATATATATTTCTTTTGCATTCATCCACTACGTGACCACCGACATGACAGACGTGTACTTGCCCCTTTTTTGTTACCCTCCATTGCCAACGTAAATACCGCCACCGTCGTTTCTTTATCGCCATGTTTCTACTGTTTCTTCCACCCTCAATAACACCAATACAACCACCGTCACCGCCACATTTTTCCAAAAGTTTTCCTTTACCGCCAACACCACCACCACACCTCAGTTGCACTAACCACGAACAACACCCATTCATCCTTTTCAGGCTACCCTACACGTTTATTCCCTCCACCGTCAGCACTAGCACTACCACTGTCTCAGCCATAATTCCAAAGTATTCATCCACCGCCAACACCATCACCACATCTTAGTTGTACTATTTTGTAACTTCACTGCCAACTAAATATGAACAAAACCAGAACGTTTTTCCACTTTTTAACAGCCATAAAATGCATCTGTTAGCTAGCCCTTTTGGGCCGTTTTACATTTTTACTGACTGAAATGACAGATTTCCCTACCCTTCACATACTTCATTTAGTGAAATCCCTACCATTTCATGCATATACCTTAAGTCTGAAATAGGAACCCACTTCGGCGTAGCCTCCCGTATAGGCCATTGTAGAGAGTGCTCCCACACCCCGGGCTAGAAACCTGTCTTCTTTGCAACTTATTTGAGGAAGCAGATTTAGGGCTAACTTTGAAATAAATTTGCTAGCTTATTACTCGACTGTTCTCTTTCAGCTGATCATCCATGTATGAATGCGAATGGTTACTGTACCCATCTCTGTCTGCTAAGCCCCAGAGAAAGTGGATACCAGTGTGCATGCCCGGATATAGGGGATGGACGAGAATGTTTGACAATACCGAAACACCCAACTACTACCACAACTGCGCCAACGACAATTGCTCCTACTACTGTTTTCATAGACTATTGTGAAGGCGACCCTTGTGCAAATGGGGCGGGCTGTGAAAGCAGTAACGGCTTGTACATTTGTAGCTGTGTTGGGTACTTTGGTGGCGTCAACTGTACCATTGCTCTAGGTAAGTTTACACAACTGATCTATCTAAATTATCCAACACGTTTTTTAACCTTGTAATGTATCCTTGTGAAAGCGTTTTAGAGCACGTTAAGTAATCAACTTAGTATTTGTTGGTACACAATAATGATTTAAAATAGTTATGCCCTCCTTTTTGGCAAATTACTGATTATATCATACCCCTTCTGGTTAAAATCGTTAGCCACTGCCAGGTCATGTCAACTTTATTTAAACTCACACGAAGTGCTTAATACATTCGCCACTTTAGAAAGGAGACGAGGGGACTCCAGCCGAAATGTGTCCATCAACTATTTCGGGGGAAAATAGTTTTGAAGAAAATAAGTTTGAAAGGAAGGCCTTGCACTTTTACAGCACAGGTCGCTTCGCTAAGCTAACAAAAAAAAACAAATCAGTTTGAAATTGGCTTAGTTTTGTATTTTCCTTAGCCTGAGAAAACAGCCGACATTTGGCGACGCTACCACTGCTTTCCCCGCCAAATGACGTCTGAGAAACGAGCGCAGAAATTCCATTCTGATGACGTGCACTACCCAGATCCGGGTAGTGCTTCTGATTGGTCGTGCCGCGTGGGACATTTGATTCAACCAATCAGAATCACTTCCCAGATCTGGGTAATGACGCATCATCAGTATGGAATTACTGCGTACGTTTCTCAGACGTCATTTGGCGGGGAAACCAGTGGTAGCGTCGCCAAATGTCGGCTGTTTTCTCAGGCTATATTTTCCATGAATATTCCTTGAAAAACCATACAGTTTTTCATATTTACTGTTATTAATCAATTAAATGCCGCGGGGTTTATTTTAAATTATATTCACGATGAATCATTTATAAAAATTATCAACACATACATTTGTAATGTCTCGATTTTTTGCTGAGACTGATAAGCATACGATATGATACGTATTCAGTTTATTTCTTTCTTGTAGTCCTCAAATAATGACCGCATTGCCCGAATTGTGCCGGGCGTTTACTCGAGGATAGCACCTATCTGTAATCGAGCAAGACAATATATTTGCTCAAAATTGCCAATGAGCTGAAGTATGTTTCTATATTTTATATTTTAGATGAAGAAAATGTCGTCGAGGTGACTTTCAAAGGCGTTACTTTGGACGAGGTAAGTTTACGTATTGGAGCCGCATGTATATCGAATATAAGCGGGCTTGAATAAGACGCGAAATCTATTATTCATACGGGTATGTCTTACATAACACGCAACCAGCTCGTATAAGTGGTTCGCAGCTTGTTTGCGCCTTATTTTCACTCACGGACTCGATTTTATTTGTATGTTGTCTATAGCAAAGATATGGTAAAAAACAGCGATTAAAAACCTTTTAGGCTAAAATATGAAACAGGTTCTTATTTTCTAAAATCTATAAAAAAAGTTCTGTTCACCTGGGCAAATAAGGTAAGGCAACATTCAGGATCGCCTTTGGTGAGGTAGCCGTACCTTGTTGCTTCAACTTCAATTGTGATGGTATACAGGTTAAGGAATGAGCTGAATACCACTAAATACTCTTGGCTACAATGTACTTTTTCTTCAGAAAATAAGAACCCATTTAAAAACCTTTTAGGCCTAAATTTGTGCTATTTACTATTTATGTAAAAACCTGGCTAACTTGGTAAAATGTAGGTTCTTAGTTCCGGGTTTTAATGTATTTCAACATGGCATTGATAAAGAAAGATGGGAAGTTTTTTAAGGTCGGTGAAGAAATGAGAAGTGATGTCCACGTGATCAACATGTTAAAGAAAGAAAAATCTGAGTCCCTCACAAGGATTGAACCTTCGACCTTCCGTGCACCGGTAGGATACTCTCTAACCACTGAGCTGCGAAGGACTCGTAGCGCGCAGGGCCATACACAAGGTGTTTAAATAACGCATGCGAACTATATGTATCAATTGCCAGGTGTGACTTATCCATTTATGTCCCCCATCGTTGATTGAATTACATCCTTAATGATTTAGACTATTGTAATTTGGAGACTGTGAAAATACACAGTTCTTCATTGGTTGCATTCAACCTTACTTATTGTTAACGGGTAAATTATCTATTCAACTCTTTTTAGTTTAACCTAACAGCCTTCATTCAGGCTATGGTGGATGCACTGAATCAACAATGTTTTGAAGATCCAGCCTCATGCCCTATTTCAGTTGAAAGGTGAGAAAATTTCTGATTTATCTCATTACCTCAACTGATTGTATCTTTCGGCCTCATGTAAGGTAATCCAAGACAGTCTTGGGTTCTGGATTCCACGCCATGGATTCCGGATTCCAGGTACTGGATTTCGGATTCTTTGTCAGTGGAACTTGGATTCCAGATACCAATCGTTAGTGGGATTCCAGATTCCTTGAGCTGTTTTCTGGATTCCAAAGCCAACGATTCCGGATTACACAAGCAAATTTTCCCTGATTCCGGATTTCGAAAATCCGTATTCCCTCACATGGGGCGATATCTTATCTTACGCAACGAGAACGTTGACGTCCCAGACGTAAAAAACGTTAACCGGAAGTTGATATTTTCTCTCTTGTTTTCTGACGTCTGACTCGAAAAACTCGTAAAGCGGAAGTTAAAACAAAGCACTCAGACTCGTTGTGCAAAACGGACGCGTTCCCTCAAGCGAGATATCGAACTTCCGGTTGCTATTCATGACGTCTGGAACGCCAGCGTTCTCGTTGCTAAAGCTCGCTATTAGAAACCTTTAATAAGATTAGAGGACGAGGACGAGATTTGACTTAAAGTTTTTTTAAGTTCGTCTTCTCAAAAAATAGACACTCGGGAAATCTTTATCGTACTTTTTTTTTCCACAGAAAAGTTAGTGCTGTTATTTTTATTGAAGGAGTTTGGGTCCCCTCCCGATCGCAAAATGTTAAAACTTCTAACATCTGATAACTTGATTCCTCTACTAGGACATTCTTCATAAAACGCGTTGTAGAATAATGACGGCTATCACGTTTCGCCGCCAAAATAGGGACTTTAAGATCCAACGACGCGGACGGCAACAAGAACGTCAAAAAAACACAATAGGTTCCAGAAGCAAACAACAACTTTGCACGCTTTTTTGTACATTTCTTTGCCCTTTTTTGCACGACTACGGCGTAAAAATGCCTCATTTCCCGTTTTATAGAGGACATAAACGAGCAACGACGAAATTTGAACTTGGAAATGGTTACTAGAAATTCAATTTCAGAAGGGTTCGCCTACATTTGACAAAGTAAGTGGGTAGGAGTAACTGTGATAAAGACTGAAAAAATGCAAATTCACTTTTTAAGCGACGTTCTTGTTGCCGTCGTGTCTTTGGATCTTAAAATCCCTAATGACGCTGGTTCACGCTCACGCTCTACATAGTATTGAGAAATTCTCGTTCTGTATTGGTCCTCGTCTTAGAATCTGAAGGTCTCTATTATTTCCCCGCCTCTCGCACTCGCTTCTCCTTTTGCGTGCGGCTCTCGCGTGACTTCTCACGGCTCCCCCAAATGGAGAGCCTGCTCACAGGCTGTGGGATGCTCGTCGTCCGCCAAGGGGGTAAAAATTGCAGTATTTGATCTCACTTATGTTGAAGCTCTTCCCTAATAAATGGGACCTCGCATCGCACGAATTTATTTTTTTATTCATTCATTCATTCATTCATTTATTTTCCTTGAATCTATAGTGAAAGGAGAGGTACTAATTTACATTTTCTTTCTGACCCACCCGCCTATCCCATGAACAAAAGCTAGGAATGCGCTCTAGGGCTAAACAAAGTTTGATAATTCAAATCTGCACAGAGATCATCGCTGATATTCATTTATTCATTCATTTATTTGTTTATTTATTCATTTGTTTCCCTCGCGGTTTCTCCATTTATCCATGAAGTATTGTGAAACGAGAGGTATCGCTGAATGGGCCTTTTACAACTGACGATATTTACATCACATCACCTCCAGAGGAAGTCGACGGGGGGGTCTCGCTCGAATATGCTGTAGTTAAAACAACAGCGGATGGAAGGCAGGTTCCTTTACAAAGTGAATCGCTCGCCGAGGTGACATCCGCAAAAGCAGCTGAAATTGGAAAGAAACTTGGTGCTACGGAAGTTGCTGCTAATCCCAAGCCTCTAACGGCTACACCCACAAGCGAAGCTCAAACGGGCGGTGCAAATGGAGGGATGATTGCTGGAGTAATTGTAGCTGTTCTGCTATTGGTTATCATCGCAGCTGTAGGAGTATGGTATTTCAGGTAAATTATTTCTCACCTTTTTGTGGCTGGCGGCGAGTGGGCATATATAAGCACACTATCCACCATGGAATAGCGGGACAATGCGTTATAACTACTTTATATAATATGAGTTTTGATGTAGTGGGTATAACTCTAGCTTCAGTTCAACCTCATTTCCAGGGCTCTCTCTCTTCCTCCTTCGAAAGAAGAGAGAACCCTGGGAACGACGCTGGGTTCAGTATAAATGTTATGGCGCATTACATGAAGCACCTTTTAGTTGTTAGAGAAACAAATCGATATTTTTTACTTCGTTATTGTACGCGTTTTTGCTTTTACAATTGAACAACTTTGACCAACAAGGAAGCAACTCTGCCCAGCATAATTGTGCTTTTCAATTATATCAAGGTTGTAAAACACTCATTGGAAAGATGACCTGAAAATGGACTAAATATAAAGCATTTTTTTAAAATTCTTATTCAGGAAGTCAGTGGCTGGAAAACCAGGCATTAAGACACCAGTACTTCCATAGATTAAAAAAGTTAATCTAATAAGTTTAAGTGGGTTGAGCCTAGATTTTTAGAATTTCCACATCAAGGGGTTAAGTTAAAACAGCGTCACAAAATGGAAGATTTAAAAGTCCAATGTTACAAGCAAACAGATGAAACTGTTGAGAATTGTAATTTTTCTTCAGCAAGAACATTTTTCAAGCACGCTAAGCACGTTCTTCCAAAGGGCTTATCTGCATTTATTACCGTTAAATTTTTCGTCTTCTGATATGATAACGATTTCATGACATGTTATGTCGTATTGTTCACAGGGTAAAAAGGACCCGCTCAACTAACATACCCTATAAGAAGGAGAATGACGAGGAGGCCCCAACTGGTTCAATAAGACGAACAACTGCCTTTGAAAACCCCGGGTACGACAGTACTGCTGGACTAGATATTGGCAGTGGAGGAAATTACGATGACATTGCAGCAGTGACATTTTCACCCTTTGAAGACTTTCCTGATCATACCGCAGCCACCAATCAACTGTATTCTACGATAGGCATGACAAGGATCTCTAGTTCCCATGATGTGAACCAAAACGCAGAAGGAGGAGAGTTGGCCGTCAAAAAGATTACTTCAGATGAGAAAGCAACACAAGACCATGATGCAGGTGCGCTGCCTAAAAAGGAACCTCTTGAGAACGAAAAGGCGGAGCAACCCCATTATGCGACGATCACAATTAACAAGAAGGAAGAGTCGGAAGAGAACGAACCGCGTTACTTGACGGTGCTTCCAAGTGGGAAAGAAATCGCAAACAGCGAACAAGTGAAAGTTGATCTACAGGAAAATGCTGAAAAATCTAACAGTGAGAATGGACAAACCGTATTGGTGCTTGACGCAAATTACAGCCAAGATAAAGACCCTGAAGTCTGAGGTGATTTGGAAAAGCCAACATGTCTGCCTCGTAGCGAACATACAGGCAATGGAAAGGATCATGCAGTTGTTCAGTAACTTATTAGGTAAACTTGCACGTCATAGGCGTAAAAAATAGCAGTATGTAGATATGACTGTCACACCTTTAAGAATGAGATAGTTATTCTAAAAAGGTAGTAGCTGAGGTCATGTTAGAGTATCATCTCTATGGTTACCTCAGTTATCCAGCCACCAATAGTTGCAACCCTAACAAACATTTAAATCGAATATAAAACTTTGCGCGTAAAGGAAAGACGTTTATTTTTCTTTGGCTTTATCAGTTTCGATCTCGTGTCCCAAGTTATAACGTAAATTTAAAGGTTAAACTACTACGTAAATAACGATGCTGAGTTAAATTAAGGGATGTATTGCCAAGAGATGCGGAGAAACTTCAAAGATTTAGTCCTTCGATTGTATTCGTTGATCTATGATTTACTCACCGATCAAAAAATGTTTGAAGAACATAATTATTAAGCCGTGGAATAATCGTTTTTCCTCATTAAATGTGTTTTTTTTGTCAACATAATTGCTGAGCGGACGCTTAAATCAAATTCAGCAGACTCCAGCAGTTTTTCAGCAAACAATACCCTCGGGGGGTACTCCCTATAATGGCCTTACGGGGAGGCTCTGCCGGAGAGGGGCACCTTTTTCAGACTTCAAGTACATGAAAGGGTAGGGATTTTACTAGCTTACGTATATGATAGGGTAGGGAAATCTATCATTTCGGCCCTAAAGGGGGTGCTGTATGTCAGTGGAAGGTATACGAACTGAAAGTTGTACCTTTTCTGTNTCTCTAGTTCCCAGGATGTGAACCAAAACGCAGAAGGAGGAGAGTTGGCCGCCAAAAAGATTACTTCAGATGAGAAAGCAACACAAGACCATGATGCAGGTGCGCTGCCTAAAAAGGAACCTCTTGAGAACGAAAAGGCGGAGCAACCCCATTATGCGACGATCACAATTAACAAGAAGGAAGAGTCGGAAGAGAACGAACCGCGTTACTTGACGGTGCTTCCAAGTGGGAAAGAAATCGCAAACAGCGAACAAGTGAAAGTTGATCTACAGGAAAATGCTGAAAAATCTAACAGTGAGAATGGACAAACCGTATTGGTGCTTGACGCAAATTACAGCCAAGATAAAGACCCTGAAGTCTGAGGTGATTTGGAAAAGCCAACATGTCTGCCTCGTAGCGAACATACAGGCAATGGAAAGGATCATGCAGTTGTTCAGTAACTTATTAGGTAAACTTGCACGTCATAGGCGTAAAAAATAGCAGTATGTAGATATGACTGTCACACCTTTAAGAATGAGATAGTTATTCTAAAAAGGTAGTAGCTGAGGTCATGTTAGAGTATCATCTCTATGGTTACCTCAGTTATCCAGCCACCAATAGTTGCAACCCTAACAAACATTTAAATCGAATATAAAACTTTGCGCGTAAAGGAAAGACGTTTATTTTTCTTTGGCTTTATCAGTTTCGATCTCGTGTCCCAAGTTATAACGTAAATTTAAAGGTTAAACTACTACGTAAATAACGATGCTGAGTTAAATTAAGGGATGTATTGCCAAGAGATGCGGAGAAACTTCAAAGATTTAGTCCTTCGATTGTATTCGTTGATCTATGATTTACTCACCGATCAAAAAATGTTTGAAGAACATAATTATTAAGCCGTGGAATAATCGTTTTTCCTCATTAAATGTGTTTTTTTTGTCAACATAATTGCTGAGCGGACGCTTAAATCAAATTCAGCAGACTCCAGCAGTTTTTCAGCAAACAATACCCTCGGGGGGTACTCCCTATAATGGCCTTACGGGGAGGCTCTGCCGGAGAGGGGCACCTTTTTCAGACTTCAAGTACATGAAAGGGTAGGGATTTTACTAGCTTACGTATATGATAGGGTAGGGAAATCTATCATTTCGGCCCTAAAGGGGGTGCTGTATGTCAGTGGAAGGTATACGAACTGAAAGTTGTACCTTTTCTGTTAAGAATGGTATATAAAAGGGTAGGGGTTTAGACCTCGGGGCGGAGCCTCCCCATATGTTGAGTAACCCCCCGGATAATACCCAGGGCTCAGCGCCAGTAAAGACGCCTTAAGACAAATAGACAGTAGAATATTCAGTGTGACTTGAAATCCCTAAAACTTGCTGCTAGAAACTGAGTGACCCGACAAAGAGGTAGTCTGAAAACACTTTCTTTGATTCAGTTTTTCACTTAGTTGTACTAGAAAAGAAAACACCTTCTAATTGATTCAGAATTCGATTACGCCTATGCAGTTTTTCACGTCATGCTAAGGATACTAGAGGTTTATTCCTTGTATAGCATTAAATTTACAACTACCAATTTATAATTAACAAAAAAAGTCGAAAACAACACTTTTAAGAAGCAGATCCATTGTTGCTTGTGATAAGCTGAACATTTGGTGTGAGGACCATCGCAAAATTGTCTAGAAGACAAATTAAAAGGAGAAGAAAAAGTCATAAAATGTGACTCTGTCGACCTCGCCCAGTTCTAGTGGCATAACAGGGATTTTCCGGAGAGGTAATTCCTCACGTCTAAAGCATAACAGTAAAATACATATTCTACCCTAGCGATAGGTTTTAATATAGTTTCTTAACATAAGCATGATGAAAATTTTAAAAAACCAAGAAAAGAAAGAAAAAAAGTGCCCCAGTATAGTCACCATTTAACTATCTTACTATACACTATACACTAGTCGAACGACGAATATATATATAGATCAGTCGATTCCAATATAGTAAGGACACCTCCATGATACGGACACCTCTCTACTACGGACAGGTCTCTTGGTCCCATATATATAGACGTAAACTAGTAACAGTTCCTACCCTCATAACACGGCACCCCAGATATGATACAGACACGTGGCTTTCCGTATTAGGAAGGTTTGACCGTGTTTCTAAATTCGTTTAGTTTCAGTACTGGACAGTTTATTCTGTAACGCTAAGTCAATAGGGAACTTAAGCACAAATGCTATTGAACGACGTCATCAGCCGAATATGGAATATGCATTTTTGAGCACTGGCTTTGTCCAAATTTTCGGGCAGTTTGTCCCTAAAAGGAAAGAGGTCTCACTTCCGGTTGGAGTATGTCTCGTAAAATGCCTTTGCTTAAACTCCCTAATAGTTTCTCTTCATGTTATGTAGTATATAATCCTCTTCACGTGGCTGGTACGTCATAATACTACTGTCCGCCACAAAGAGATCGTCGGAAAATTCAAAATAATTTTGCAGAAAGTTAAGCCATGTTCACACGGAACTACCTTAACCGTACAAAAATTCAGACACCCAGCCGTTCGAAGTTCAGTGTGAATAGAGCAAAAATATTGAATATCCCCCTGTGAACAAAGTATCCGGTAAAATGTTTTTAGCCGGTCAAAAGTTCGTGCGGCGCAATGGAAACGTAGCCCAAAACATAGACGGCTACTTCGAGGACAATCTTTCAGGATAATCCGCTTATCTTCCGATGAGTGTATCAGCAAGCTATGAAGAGGTTTTATTTTTTTCTTAATTATTGAAGTTAATTTTTTTAACGTATTTTTTGGACATGTGTAAATCTGAATATTTTTAGAACAAGGTGAACGAAGTGTTTGAGTCGATTCAGACAGGTAGCAGTTTTTTTTACTATCAGAGAAAAATGTTTCTGGCGAGGTTTAAAGGTTCCATCAGGGGAAAGCTGTAGCAACAGAGAAAAGCTGGAATAGACATAAAGTAGAGGCGAGCTACAGGTTCTGGTATTTCTTGATTGCAGGGCAGGGTTACTAATTAAAAAATTGAAGTTTCTTTTGTTCGTAGCCTAAAAGGTGTTTACAATGAAAAAAAGAGAGTTTAACCAGCGACGTTTTTGAACGACTCAAATCAACCGGAAGTGAACTTTTTGCTCACTTCCGGCTGCCGTGCGTCGCTAAAAACGTCGCTACTTAAACTGCCAAAATTTGTCCATAAACTTTAGGCTATAAATAAATCCGTCCTTAGATGACATGGAAAACTGTTGAGGTTGTCAATCGTAAATTTAATTTTCTCTGGTCTGCTATAACAGGAAAGAAAGAAATCTCATAGAGCTGTTACCTTTTGTGTATAGAATGTGGTATTATTTTTTATGTATTAAAAACCTTTTGTAACTTTTTATTAGTTATTCTATTTTAATGATTTGTTTAAAAAAAGGCCAATAAAAGTATTTGCCGAATTAGTCTGCTTGTCATCCAGGGTTTTCGGTAGCATTTGGAAGTACCGGATGCAGTGGTTCAGCTGGCGGACGTGCACCGTTCGCGCCGCTGGCGCGCACGTTGAGTGCCGGAGGCACGAATTCCTAGGGGGCTCCGGGGGCATGCATCCCCCTGCAGGAAATTTGTGAAATTGGTCACTCTAAAATGCAATTTCCTGCGTTCCCTGGACCGGAATTGGGTAACCGGAATTATGACAGGAATTATCTCTTTTTTTTACGATTGTATGCATTACATAACTAAGAAAAAAAAAAAGGGTCAAGTCTTTCTTTGGTTAATAAATGGAAAAAAACGATTTTCACACTTAAAAAAATAATTATTTCGTGTGTGAGCTACCGGAAGTTACATGTCAAACAACCGGACGTTGCATCCGGCGTCCGGCCTGAAACCTCTGGTCATCTTGTTGATAAAAATGTCTCAAAATTATATAATGGTACCTAACCGACAATTGCACTCCATGAGGCTGTATATAAAACAAGCTGGGTGTCTGTCTCACCCCAGATACGCCAAGAAAAAGTGTTTGGTAAAGTTTTGTAAAGAAAACTAGTCTTTCTAGATAAAAACAACGATTTAAGGAAGTCGCAAAAATCGCACTTTTCCAAAGGGGTTAGTCCGTGGTTTTAATCAAAAATTTGAAATTTCCTGATCCTTTTTTTTTTTTTAGGCAAAATGGACTGAAAAAAATAGTTTGGTGACGTTCTAGATAGAAAACTAGTCTTGCTA